GAAACCGGGTGCCCTAACGAGAGCGAAGAAGCGATTTATTTGGACTAGGCATAAGAAAAGAAACTGTATATAAACCCGATATAGATACGAAAGTGAAGATTATAGTTAAATTGAATGAAGAAGCTCAGGATTATATATACGCTATGCTACAAGTTGTGATATTTTGAATCTTGAGAAATATGGTCGGCAAATATGGTCGGCAGGTAAACTTCATACAAGCTTAAAGCAATCTCCCTATAATCGTCTCGTAGCATCCCGGAGGCACTCTTGCGCAAGCTTGAAGCTTAGGCGTACTGATCGCCTTGGCTCCTCTACTACATCACCCTCGTCATCGCTAATCGTATCTAAGTCACTGATCCGTTCCATAAGATCTTTCGTCTGCTCTCGGTCTTCACTAAGGATCTCCTGTGAAGTTAGAGTACTAAGAAGCGCTTGGGAAACCTCTGTAGCCTCCTAGGCGATAAGAACTCTAGCATCGTACTCATCGTCCCGATAGCGAAAACGAGATACCATCAATCCAGAGAATGTTGCTGCGGTGTATTGGCGATTGAAACGACTTTGGTGTCGAGCGATACTGAAATCGCGCTCACACCTAACTCCGGCGGCAGGAATGCAGAGAATATCCCGCGCCATTAATGCGAGAGTAGGGTACTTAGACTCTATTGAAGACTACGTCTTTAGTACCTCGAATGGATCCCCTTCATCCATATCAGCGTCCAAATAGTTGGCGAGCTCGTCATCCTCGTTAGTGCTGCGTCTTTGACTTTGAGAAGACTCTGTACTCCCACTAAGAGTAAAGTCGATATAGCCTTTGTGCCGACTCCTTCCAAAACGGCCCTGCTAGGTAGAGGTACTCGATAATGAACGATAGCTCTTCTCCTACTCTGCCCTTAGCTTACCCTCGTAATACGCGCGGTAACTTTCATCCCTAAAGTCATCGCGTACCTAGAACTTCCGCTTAAGGCAGGGGGTAAGGAGGACGCTAATACCGTAGTAATCGCCAAATCGATCCTAGGTATCTCGATAATATTTCTCTAGCTTAGCCCAAGCAGCCTCGCATGCCTGAAAGACATCCTTCTTCCAGGGTATCCGCTTATTCTTGAGTCGCTTCATCGCCTCCTCCAGAATATCGAAAAGCTTGTTGTAGTATACGAGGACAAGGTGAATCGTCGGACCTTTCGTAGTTCTAATTACCGCTGTCGCCGCTGCAAATGGTTTCGTAAGGTCGATAAGGTACTCTACCCTTTGCCATTCTTCGGAATCGATGCCTATGTCTTTACCTAGGTCAAGTCGCTCGATATAAGATTCAATAACTACTTGGAGTCTGCTAAAGCGATCGAGCATTAACGTTGTTGAGGACCACCTTGTCTTCACGTCTTGAACGACCCTTAGGATACGATCTTGAACGCCTTTCCACCGACGGTGCTTTGCAAATGGCTGCTTCTTTTGAAGCATCTCTTTCTGGAGGTCGATGAACTGTTCGAACCTTTAGGAGCTCGAGTTAATAAAGACGCAAAGCTTCCGGATCTAGAGATCAAGATTAGCTAGAGTAACGAACTGCCGACCATAATTGCCGACCACGCGAGTCGACTATACTTTCGAGGTAGAAGGGTTTATAGTTTATTAGGCGTAGACACTAATCTTACCTTCAAAAGAAGATAGGGCATACTATTAGCTTAAGGACGGCTGATTTGCTTGCTCTGGACTCTTCTTCTCTGTAATATCTTTCTATCCTTGTCGTGATCCCAGAATTCGGAAAGGTCGTTCGTAGGACAAAGCCCTAGGCGGTCGAAAAAGGCCTTTAGGGGAAGTTGAGCAGTATGGGCAAAGCAGGGAAATCGCTCCGGACGGCTACCTCGATTACACTCCGCAATTGCCTCCTCCTCTTCCTCTCCTATCTCTGATTCGGGACTAGTCTCCGTACCTGGATGGAGAGGTAGCTGCTCCAAGCTCGTTGGTGGCTTAGTAACCGTTATACCGTACCTCTCTTGACAAGTATCAATCGCTGAAACACTATAGAATATTAGAGGAGAGTAATAACAGTATAGCAAGTGTCCTTACATCGCATTGTGTAGCGTCTTATTGTTAGAGGCGTTGTCGCACGTAATAGCAGTCAATCGCCGCTCAATCTCGAACTCTTGTAAGATCTCGAATAGTATCTCCGCAAGATGATCACTAGTATGACGGCTAGTAATATGAGGGAAACCAAGCATCCCTTCGTGCCAAGTCTATTAGTCGTCAATCCAGTAGACCCGTATAGTTAGGAATGAGGTTTTCATAGTCCTGGATTGCCAACCATCACACGCGATAGCCATCTTGAATCTTCCAGCGAGACGGGCTTTAAGGGAGTCGGC